AGGGTTTATTTGTCTTGTCCGCGAGCCGCGACTCTCATCCGGGTTCATTCTCTGGCGAGCTAATATTTGCAGCAACCTCTCCGCTAACTCGGTAAACCCCCGAGGTATCCGCTGCGGAGAGAGACGGATCATTAATTGGTAAAATGCGGGAATCGAGTCCCGCTCCTGCATCACCGGCCCGAGATCAACTTCAATTTTGCGTAAAGCGCTCGAGCGCTCACCGGTATATCCGTATTTTGCTAATGGAGATGTTGCATGTGTGAGGATTTTGCGATTTGACTGTTGAGATTTCTGTGAAAGTTCGCGAGAAACACGATGGTGTCACTGGTTTTCTCTGAAATCAACTCCCAAACTCAAAAAAAGCTCTCAAGTTGAGGCCAAAAGTGAGGGGATATCCCACCCTTCCCTGAGAGGGTGGCAAGTCATTTTTCCTAAAACATTTTTTCCTACTGCAATTTTTCCTAATACTTTTTTCCTACTCGTTTTTTGTTCCATCACAGTTACTCCTACGAGTGAGATGTCCTACTGGCTTTTTTCCTAGGGGCATTTGTCCGAAATTCAATTTTAAAACTAGGGGATCGAGAAAGTAAAAAAACAACATAGGTACCTCACAAGTTAAAATTGTGGCCACATGCCCGTAAGTAGTGGAGCTTCATCCTCCTCCTTATATTGAGGGTATAGAAGGCTCAGCTTGTAATGTCTCCTATTCACGCACTTATATTCGGCTCGCTGAGAAAACTTTACTCTCTCTGAAAAATTTCCCTCTACTCTATTCATGTTTACGTTTCAATTATTATTGAATTATTAGGACAAACACCCTTAGGAAAAAAGCCAGTGGGACATCTCACGCGTAGGACTTACTGTAATAGGACAAAAAACGAGTAGGAAAAAAGTATTAGGAAAACCTGATGTAGGAAAAAAAAAATTAGGAAAAATGACCTAGCACCCCCTGAGAGTCCACCTCTACATCAAGACAAATTCTCCATGCAAAGATAGGGGGCCAATACATTAGCAAGGTTGTCGTGTTCTCAGTCTTGGAGTCCCCAAATAAAGTGGCAACCCTGCCAATGTATTAGCTCCCTATCTTTGCATGGAGAGTTTGTCTTGATGTAGAGGAGGACTCTCAGGGTAGGGTGGGATGTCCCCTCCATTTTGGCCTCAACTTGAGAGCTTTTTTTGAGTTTGGGAGTTGATTTCAGAGAAAACCAGTGGCACCATCGTGTTTCTCGCGAACTTTTACATATGAACCAACAGCCAAATCGCAAATTCCTCACACGTGCAACATCTCCATTCCTGCCGTGAGAGGTCAAAATGTTAACCGAACAAAAACGGCAACGTTGCGTTGAGTCAAAAAACCCAAAATCCGATGGTGGAGTCAACGATCGTTGATGTAGCGCTCAGGCAGTAAAAAATCAAAATGGGTCCTAAGCATGATGTCAACGATCAAGTAGATATAATTTAAAGCGCAGACCCCATGAGGCTTGGACCTGAAAAATGTTATGAGGATTAGACCTGGAAAATTTTTTATTCACCTGTGTTACTCGAACACACACCAAAACTATACTGACAAACTTGCGAGCAAAATGAATGGCCGTTGAGACTATATCGTAACAACCTTCACATTAAAAAACTTGATTTTTGAAAAAATGTCAATTTTTTTTTTTTTAAACATTTTACCAGGTCTAATCCTCATTACATTTTTCAGGTCTAAGCCTCATGGGGTCTGCGCCTTAAATTATATCTACTCACGGTGTCGACAAACAGAAAAATATCTTCCTCACACGTGAAAAAAAAAAAAAATAATAAATCTCCAAGAGAGGTTTGAGTTATGTATAATTAGATTAGGTTAGGACAGGTAAGGTTAGAGTTAGGTACGACTAGGTTTGGAAGATTTGGTTCAGTGAAGTTGGATCAGGTCGGGTAAGGAATAGTTGGGTTAAGTTAGGTTAGGTAAAGTTGGGCAAGGTTAGGTTAGGTAAGAGAAAATAACGTAAAAAAAACAAAACTTTTCATTTGAAAGATGTTACAGAGGGAAGTTTTAGGTATCGTTGACACAGCGGCCATCTTTCATATGAGGCAGAATTTTTTCATTTTGGGTAATCGTGGTGTAAACAAAAACTAAGGAAAACTGTTCGTTGATACCCTGATCGTTGGCACCATGACCGAATCTCGTACAGGAGGTATATTGATTTGATTGCAACTGGACAACATAAATGTAGTGTCAAAAATGCCAACCATTTTGGGGGGAATTAAGAGGTAAGCAACGAAAACGAATGGCTCAGCAATGGTAAAAGCAAATGATTATGCGTCGTAGGAGATCAATTTGAGCTCGATCGGACTAAGTGGTGGTGTAAGGTGAGTTACCTCCCTAAAATTTCAAGGGAAATCGTGGAGAGGGGGGGGGAGCACAAACCAACAAAGCACAAACAAAAAAAATTGTGTGTTTCTTAAGATAAGCAAAGAAAAAAATGTCAAAATTCGAAGTCAGGTAATTCAACAATTTCACGGACATCTTTGTAAGTACAGAAGAATTTAAGGTCGTAGAGACAAGAATTATATGATACTATTATCCTTCAAACTTAAATTCAATCTGCGGCGGCAACTAAATTGCAATAGACTCCCCCACGTCTCCCCCAGCATCCCTTGTGCGATCCCTCGCGTTTGCCCCCCCCCCTCTCCTTTTGCCCAACCAACGAAATCGTGCTCATTTTTCTCATCGCGTGTCGACTGTCACCCCTTCTTGCGAGCAATCTCCCTCCCCCTCCCCTCGCTCTACCTGATTCCCTCCACCCCTCTTTTCCATCCTGCCAACCCATCGAATCCCGGGAAATTGCATTGCGACGATTTCCCGCTGTTCCGGCATG